TTTTCTGAGCTTTCTCTCAGAATTAGGAATTGCTTTTCACATTGTGGCAGTGCCCCTGAACAGCTAGAACATTTGTCAGATTGCATCAGAGAGAGTTCTAAGAGTTTGTCTCTCTAGTAGAGTTTTCATTCCTCAAACTTCCTGGTTTAGTATTTCGTAATCATTCATTGTCATAAGAGTGTTTATCATAACGTTTGGTGCACAGGAGTCATATATGAAATGTATATTCAGTGTGACAGAATTGAATTACTAGTATTTTTCTATTCTTCTTCATTTATAGAATGTATTTATCAGGTTTATGGTGACTCTTCTTACTCATAGAATTGTTTCCTTTTGTCCTGTTATGAAAGGGCGTCTGCTAATCAATCTCATGTGTCTACGACATGCCAAGATCTAAACTGAATAACCTCTTTCTTATCATCTTGCCCACAGTTAGAAGTGAATCTTTTGGTGCTGCCTGAGGGCTTTCCTCAGACATAATGTGAAGTCACATTTTTAGAGTGTTAATTTGTCCTTTCCATTTTTAGCATCTTTCTGTGTATCTTTTTAAACTCTAACTTCTATACCCTTCTCCTAAACCCACAGGTAAAGCACCTGGAACTCTACAGTATTTCTCCACAGAAACCATCCTCAGTTGAAAGCAACTTTGTCACTAAAGGACATTTGATAACATCTGGAGGCAATTTTGGTAATTCACAAGTGGGAAGGAGCCACTGGCATCTAGTGAGTAGAAGTCAGGGATGTTGCTGTCCATCCTACAATGTGCAGCAACAGGACAACCTACCACAACACAGAATTATCCAGTCCAAAATGGTACTGAGGTTGAGAAAGTCTGTTCCAGAGGGTGCTACCCAAGCTGCAGTTTTCAGTCCTGCTATAGAAATGAAAAGCCCATAATTCTTACATTTCCACTTATGAGAGTATTGAAACTTCAGCTATCTAACCAATGGACTTCCACTATAAAGAAATGAGGATCATCAGTGAGTAGTAAGAACCAAATGCTAGAGTCACTGACTACATTTTATTCATGACCACAAATCACAGAAAGAGGTTTAAGAAAAAAGTGAGAGAATAATAAATATATTTTATTTGCAATTTCTTTCCCACCATTTAGTGAATTGCCAGTCATTTAGGAATGCACAATTGAAGAGATTTTAAGGAAACGTGACACAAAGAAATGGTGGGTGTGAGTAAAGTACCACATTAATAATATATGCCAGTGAGTGTGTTTGGATATTGAAAGAAAAAACAATGCACAAAATGAGTATGTTAATGGTCATGCTCTAATACTCTTCTCCACGATCTTGTGTGATGGAGAAATAGCAAGAAATTGCTTTTATATAAACTGGGAAAAAAAGTGCTTTACGAGTACTGAATATAGAATAAAAGCAATAGAAGTTTCACAAATCCCAGAAGGCTGGAAGAAGAGAAGACTATTAAAATGTGTGATCCTACAAGAAATTGTTTCTGTCATTGACCAACAAACTACTTATGAACCAACATTTGCCTTGTGTACTTTAATCTCATAGCTTGGCACATACCTGCAGGGTCACTGGGGATGGCTGACTTCCATCCCACACTCCTGGAGCTATCAGTTCTATGGGAGGCTCATTCTGTAATGTCATGCTGAAAAGCAGAGACCCGAGAATGGATTTTCTGCAAATGACAACACAGACAGACAGGAGTTATCTCCTGAGTGAAACTATTAGTATTTGTGCATGTTTTCTTTTGGAGTATAAATATAATCAACTATTTTGTAGCTTCATGCAGTAGGTAGAAGAAAAATAAAATATTCCACAGTTCATATACGGATTAACAGATGATTTCTGTTATACCACATGCATGGTATGTGGAAAACATGGCTGTTTTCATATATCTATACATTTTTCTTCCATATGAGAATATTGTTTCCACAATGGTTTCTAACAGGTAGCATTTATTTGGAATTGTTGTTACTGATGATTACAGAGTAGGACTAAGAATCTCAGATTTATAGTCATGGAGTTATGATTGTCTTAAATCAATAAAGATGTTAACTCTTCAGAGCATTTTTTGCTCCACGGAGTGACTAAATTCCTGAGCGTTTAGAGCTATGAGTTCTAAATTTATAGAAAGAGAAGATTTAAATTAGCATAGCATATGATTTGAGAATCAAAATAGTTGTGGAACTTCACAGAGGAAATGTTCCTTCACACATAAATAGAAAGATTATTCATATTCTGAATATTTAAAAATCAGTTGTAAATTACCATAGTAAATGAGAGTTCATACAGGAAAGACTTTAAACAGGGAAGAATTCAGGGATGGTTTTAACAGCTTCAGGAACATCCAAATCCATAGATCTTGTACGGATTTAAAAAAGAAGCTATACCTGGCTGTGTATATGAATCAGAATATTGCCAAAACATTCCAATATTCACCATAAATAGCATTTGATTTTGATATACTAAATTAAGAATGCAGAAATGAAATTTAACAAAATTAAACTTAAGCTTATAAAGAACTTTAAAACATCTCTTTAATAGTAACAATTTCACCTTGTCATTTAATAGATATCATGCAAAACTTAAAGAAAAAACTCAAATAAAGCTTTCTTTAAACTTTTAGTTTTATAAGAATTGCCTTCTGCATTAATTTTCTACCTAAAGATATAATCAGAAAGTATTTGTCCAATGGGATATAATTGATCATCATTATTGAACAGATATTTTTATATGAC